GGTTCAGCCATTGTGACGTGCGCTTCCGAATTATGGTACAGTGTCCACTTTTCATCACAAGTAATAATTAGATTTAAAATCCCTTCATTATTGTGTCGGTTGAGCAAAGTATCACAGCAGTCGACGCGTGTTTGCAAGTTCGATTCACTCAATTCATGAGGTACCCATCATTAAGTTTTTTTACTTTCCCGATGTACTACAAGTGGATTAATACAGTTTTATCACTTACCCTGAAGCCTGCAGCTATCTGTGAAGTACTTTGTGATGGATCCGCTTCCACAATAGCCTTTAATTCTTCATTTTCCACTTTGGTCTCCGGCCGTCAACGGGGTTGGTTCTGAAGGCCAAAATTTCCAGAACGAATACGTTGAAACCAAAAACCGTACCGTGCTTTCTTTTGTGACACCAGCGCCGTACACATTATTAATCCTTCGAACTGTTTCTGCGGCACTGGTGCCACGGTAGAACTTGTACTCGTAAATATACCGATATTCCATGTTTTCCATTGTGCGGTAATAAGCGACGCCAAAGAAAAAAATAATGAAGAAAAAACAAATGAATGACAGTTTCCAAAACTCAAATGTACCAGCTAAATGAATTTATAAATTTGAATTTGGAATTCTTAACCAAAGAGGAAATATCTCAGATCAAAGTGGTCAGTACCTACGACAAAACGCTAATTTCATATGTAAGGAACTAATATATTAGGAAAATATTAACAACGAACGCATATGATTTTACGTACATTAGGACGTCCATGCATACGTACATATACATATACACAGAGATATCCCTCTAAAACCATACCACATACTTTAGAGACTAAAACGTAGAGATGTGAACTTTGGAAAGTCGGAACAATTACAGTATCTGAATTTGGAATATTTGGACAACGTTATTTAGTTATTTAGGAGTGTAATATTAAATTGGAATAATGCCAATGAATAATGTTTTTGCGCTAGCAATTTGGTTTATCTCTATAAATATTTGTGTATTATGAATATTGCACATGGGAGTCATTACGTATCTCCTCTATGTTCTGTGTTTGCTTTGTTTAAATACCTCGTTATTTAGTTAAATTATAAACATACAGAAATATTTGTGCGAAAATGTTGAATTAATTGTACGATGAAGAATGAAAAAGAATAGGTGCTAGGCTGCTATTTTACGCTGGTATTCTGTGAGAGCGTGGTCCTTCCCCGGTCGAACCGACCCATTCGTACTACAACTATACTACTAATATAGCTGCAGCATGGCTCTGCTACGTACAAAATACCTATGCGTGTTGGCAGACTTCATATGCTCTCAAAATGTTTATTCTGCAGATAAATCTGCATAGTTTTTTCACGTTTTCCTTCACCACTGAGCACGTAAAAAAATCAGTTATTAAAAGTGCAATTAACAATTCCATTAGATTGGTTATGATAAAAAGCTAAGGTTTTCTTGGATCACACATCATGCTTATTTTAATTGAGGAGAGTAAGGAAATGTTAGCGTTAGCCACACTGGTGAATCGCGACCGGGGTAAGTCCCTACATAACTATTAAAATGAGCACTTAACGCAGGCGTGACATTATTCTTTGCCTGCACACTATTGCTATTACAATCACAAAATGTAGCTCATGAAGACCCGAAGATGAAGATCGATTAAAATGTACCTTGCACTTCCGTTAAACCGTTTAGTTTACAGGAGATTACACAGAAACAGGAAAACATAGATTATAATATATACATATATATTATGCATAAATATACCCGAATAAATACCCACATTCTGGGGCAGTCTAGTAAGAATGATTGTAACACAAAGTGATTTAGACAGCTTTTCAAGGGTACGAATATAATAAAATGGTTATATGTTGCAATATTAAAAGTGAAGCGCGATTCAGTGGGAGATCTTCGTTTTAAAGTAAGCACAAAGACAATGACAGTTAAAGTGGTCTACAATTAATACGAAAATGATTTCATAATGAAGTTAAGTTCGGAAATGTTATTAAGGGTACAACCTATCTCATGTTGTGTCGTTCTTTATGACACATATACGAAAGTTTTTATAAGTATATAATAAATAATTCCACAAAATGGCTCGGGTCCAAATTTTGTACTCTTTGAGCCCTCCTGTGCGAGCTTGTCAGCAGTTACATTGCCCACAAGCATGAGCAACTTTGAAAAGGAATTATCAAGGACGAGGTTTTTGATAAAAAAAAACATGTAGGTATATTTCTCAATTTAGCAATATACAACGAGTTGCTCTATATAGGACATTCAATGAAATTGTATTTCCGGTATCGCATTTTCAAATTAATATTCATAAGGCTATCAATATCAATACTATTCAATGAATAATTTTGGAACAACCTCACCAAAAATCACAATCAAAAAGATCAATTGACTACGGCCATGTATTTATGAAATTAAAGTGAGAAAAAAATCATTTTCTTTTGCCATTTTGTTAACTTGAATATTAAAAAATTGTATTCATGATCGAATTTTAAATTAATTAATTTATTAAATTAATTAAGTGTATTGTGTATTCATTAAATATCGTTCGTAGCGCAGCACATTGCATGATTCTATTTAGTTTGTATTTAACCAATAATTGATGCCGTTGGGGGCTGAACTCATGTTGCTCGTAAATTGTGATATAATTACGACGAGCGCTTAACCCTTAAGCTATCACGGCACATGTACATAAAGAAATAATATATGTTTTTTTTATATAGGAGAGGGGGCAAACGAGCATGCGGCTCACCTGATGGTAACTGATTACCGCCGCCCATGAACAACTGCAACACAAGGGGAACCAGGGGAATATCAGATGCGTTGCCGGCCTTTTAAAAAGGAGTAGGCTCTTTTCTTGAAGGTCCCTAATACGTATAGGTCCGGAAAAATCGCTGATGGTAATCGATTCCACAAGGAAGTCGTGCGAGGAAGAAAACATCTAAATCGCACATTGGTGGACCGACAATCATCCAGATGGTGTGGATGCTATCGGGAGTTCTGCCGCGATGTGCGTTTGTGAAATTTGGCGGCTGGGATTAATCCGAACAATTCCTCAGAGCACTCCCCGTGGTACATGCGAAAGAAAATGCAAAGGGATGCAACATCTCTTCACAGTGCCATTGAATCGAGCCGATCCGAAAGGACTCGGTCGTCGACGATTCGAGCCGCTCTGTGCTGGATGCGGTTAAGTGGAAGTAGCTGGCACTGGGGTGCCCCTCCCCAGAGATGGGAACAGTATTCCATGTGAGGCCGAACCTGTGCCTTGTAAAGTTGCAGGCGGTGTGACGGCATGAAATACTGTCCCGCCCTGCTGAGCACGCCAAGCTTTTTAGAGGCCAATTTGGCCTTCTCTTCCAAGTGACCACGAAACTGCACGTCACTCGATATGTCAACTTCGAGGATTCCGATACTGGCTGATGCAAGAAGGGGAGTGCCTTGAAACTGAGGAGATACGACAAAGGAGTTCTTTTTAGCGGTAAACGTGCAAACTTGTGTCTTCTGAGGATTAAACTGGACTAGATTTAGTCGCCCTCAATCCGAGACTTTGTTCACCAAAGAGTCGAGTCTTTGTTCTTTTTTTTCAGACACAAGTTTGTTCCGGTACTCGACGACGTTTACCCGAGAAATATTGGCACGGCCGGTGTATAGAGTAGCTTTCCTTCTTCGTAACGTCGTTCAGGCAGCGGTAGTCAACACAAAACCGTTTACTGCCGTCCTTCTTCTTTACCAGCACCACAGGTGAACATCATGGACTAGATGAAGGTTCAATAATAGCATCCTTGGTCGTGGATGCTCAGCGAGGGATTCTCCAGGGGTGCTGGTACCCTCTTGGGGTAGTCTTTGGTGTAATTCCGCTCCCATATTGATGGAAGTGGGAGGGGGGAATTGGGCCTCCGGCCACCCGTACTCACCAGGCGAAACGCAGAAACAGAGCTTCTACTTCACGCCGGTATTCTGTGAGGTCGTAGTATCAACCCGGCTCGAGCCGGACCATACGTGCAACAGCAAAAACTACCGCGTGGCTCTACCACCGTTAAAAAAAAAGTAAGAGATTTAAGGAGTATTGGTAGTACCAGGTTGTAGAACATTTTTCTTACTTAGGTTTTGAGGACGTAGTAGTAGCCTTCTACTTATTACTCCCGCTATGTAGCAATGCATCCATTTGGTGAGTTTTATTATGAATGTAATAGACTACAGGAGCCAGTATGATATTATAGGCTGCTAGCAATTGATCTTAGTCTATGAGGTAACCGCGCATTTTTTCACCTTCTTGTTTAAGGTTAATTACAGGCGTCTATGACGAATAGTAGCCACTTACCATCAGGTGGAATTTTAGCTGGTTTCTTCGTTTAAAGTTTGAATATAACCATAATTTTCGATTATTCATCGAACCATCCATTACAGTCTATAAAAAGTCCTGCTGAACATAGGCCTCCCCCATACGGATATTTCGCCATAGTTGCCACGCTTGGTAGGTGGGTTTTCAATCGCAGTTTTTATAATCTTGAGTTTGTATCAGAAAGATGCTGCTGCTGGCCATCTGCGGTTTCAGTTACCCTCTGTAACCTCTTACAACACCCACAGGGCGATATAGGGTAGTGAATATTCACAAACCGCCAATACATGGTCATTATACGAGACATTATAATAACAAATTAAGTATAAAAACACAGAAAATAATAACTTCAACACTTTTCTGATTCTTAGAAAACGCGTCGGAATGCTATGAATATAATATGTATATCTCTTAACGTCATTCAAGTTTTGCTACCCAGTTTACAATAATACTTTTATGTACAATAATTACCGTGACAGTTACTTTATAAATTTAAATAACAATGTATGACACTAAACATTGAAGTTGTTTTGTTTCATTTTTAATTAAATATTTGAACAAGTGTAATCCCAATGTAGAACAAAACGGTGACACTAACAGCTTAGGGCAGTATCTGTTCGACTATTTGGTACATGAGCACATTATTCGTGTTATTATCACGATGATAAATATATCTTTATTATTATTATTTTTGTTTGTGTGTACAGTACATTGCGAGCGTAAGTGAAAAACCCAAAAGCTTTTAGATGTACGCTTTAAAACCTCACATTACAGCAACAATGTAATAAATAATATGTGCATTTTGAATCATTCATTGTCTTTATTTTATTTGCTTTATAATTGACAGGAGTTATATTAACTTGTGACCATATACGCGCATTTGTTGATGGTCATAACACGCGTCGTTTAAAAGTTGCACAGGGGTTAGTGCCTGGGCAGCCTGCAGCATCAAATATGCAGTTTATGGTATGTACATTAATATAAGTTTCCATTGATTGTACACAACAATTTAAACTAGTTTAAACAGAAAATAATGTTATGTATTTATTATAATCTGAATACATTACCAGGTATGGGATAAAGAACTTGCAGAAAAGGCTAGCGATTGGGCAGATAAAGGTGTATTCGCACATAACCCAGACAAAACAATAGGTAATATTTTTATGAATTTAACTTACAATATAAGTGAATTGATTTTTAAGAATCCACGAACCACAAAGATTTAGAAGATAAGTTTGAGAATGTTCGGAAGCAATCAGAACGAGAATACGCTTAGGCTAGTAAATCCATTCGTGTTTTGTCAGATATTTTGGCTGGCCGGTTGGGATTCAAATATAAGAAAATATACGAGTATGACATATACGTAGACGAGTATGTAGTCTAGGTACAAGCTTTGCAGTAGTTTTTAATGTTTATTATGTTTATTAGTATGGAGCACGGAGCAAAAACAAAGAGGAGGTGTTGTAATTAGATTTCACTATATAACAACGCGTTACAATTTGCAGGATGGGGGGTGTTAAGCCCTGCCCACTTAACTATTTTCCATCTACCGATAAATAGTAAAACTACTCTGACTGAGAGAGACTACATCTTCGTATGATTATTTTACCAATACTGAGCTCTACGTGCCTTTAAATTTTTAGTTCCTATGACACAAAGTGTCGCCATCTAGTGTAGAATATATTTAATTATTTTGAAAGCCAATGCAGAGATTTTCCTAGAACTATTTTAATAAATTAGGTATATAATTACTATTTTATATATTATTAAAAATATGTAGACATCCATAGACATTTACAACATAAAACACAACACTTCATAATTTTCTTTATAATACTATGAAAATACACCTATTTGCGATTTTCGACACTCGAGAGCATACTAACTAAAGCCACGCTCACTGTGATGACGTCAGGACCTAGTTAGAATCACAGTGCACAGTTGCTTAACTAATTAAGTTATACCTATTGCCGGTCTTGGTATTCTATATTTGGCTTTAACATGACGGATACACGTAAGCCCGCCATCTATTGGACGCCATGAGGTCTTTTCGACCATTCGCATAAACATCTACGGGATGAAGTCGTATGAAAAAATCTCTTACAGTGCTTTCACTCGGCTTAACTACTGCTTGTTGCTAGTTATAGGAAGTTTGTACCCATTTGTGTTTCCCCATTTTTCATTCATAAAAATAATGAAAAATTGTCCACTCAGCACGTGCTGCTAACTCGACACATAGTTTTCTTTAATGGCCCTATGAAGAAAATGTAAGTGCCCTGCGATACTCGGTGTTTCTCTGCATGATAGAGCCACGCGGCAGCTTTTGCTGTCGCACGGTTTGGCCGGCTCGAACCGGGGTGGTACCACGACCTCACAGAAAACCAGCGTGAAGTAGAGGTTTACCTCTGCGTTTCGCTTGGTGAGTGCAGGTGGCCGGAGGCCCTTTTTACTGGAAAGACAACGCATCTACATTTTGATTTGTGGATTTGTGTTGAATGGAGGATAGATGTAGATGTCTATGGGCCGCAGCAACCACTTACCATCAAGTGGACTGTGTGCTCGTTTGTCACCCTTATCCTATAAAAAAAAACAAGGTAGGGGGATAACCACAGTAACCGGAGTAACCAATGTAGCCCAACGGGGCTGTAATCTAAAGTAGCTGTTAAGACATAGAGAGAATTGATGAATACATGTGGCTCAGGACCGTGTTATTTGGTAGTCTCATAAAGACCTAGTGGTAGGCCATATACTTGTATACATGCCAAGGGCATAATTTTCCAACGACATTTTTTACTATTCACATACCTTACTTCATACCAAGTTATTTTGTTCTTTTATTTATAGGTTCAAAGAGATGGAATTCGATAGGAGAGAATATTTATATGTCCAATTTTTATTCAAATATGGGTGATGAAGCGCCGATAAATATAGAAGAAGCATTGGACTTTTGGTTCCAAGAATATAAAAATTATAATTTTTGTCCTTTCTATTTAAACTTTGTTAACCAATTTGCTCACTATACACAGGTAATTAAAGGTGAAAATAACAACTATGATAGTAATGTTATTAACTGATCGTTTTCCTCTTTTTAGAACCTTGACCTTCTAAATTAGGTCTACTTCATAATCATCTAGGTCAGCAGGAGCTGGTCACTTTATTTTCAATAAATACTTATACCAATATTTTTTATTCTGTAGCGCTAGCTATGTTTGCCCCTTATGCAATTATATAATGTAAAACATGTCACCTCCGTGATACAGGAGAATCTCCTAGAATGGGGGAAATATATTTTAAAAGACAAAAAAAGAAAAAAGGGTGATGGAACTTTTTACTACGAACTAAATGTTCGTCGTCGTGTAGAAGCGGCGTTGGAGAATTCATGACATTTCGTGAGTATCGTAAGAAGTGACGGATGGTAATTATACAGCAGATGGGCAGCAGCATCTTTCCGATAACAACTCAAAATAATAATAAATTGCGGCAACTATGGCAGATATCCCCCTTGAGGCAATCTATGTTTGGCTGTGGCTTTTTATGGTCTGTAATGACGATATAATGACGGACTAATATAAATCGCAAATCAACATCCAATACATTAAATACCATTTGATATGTAGCATAATATTATAGTTGTTTGTAGCAGAGAGGAGTGGCGAATGCTTGTGAGGCGGCTAACATCTGCTCTTAAAGATGGTCTATTCGTGATAACCACGATCGCTATCAAGAGTGTTACGACGAAGAAACATATAACTAGCTTTTTCCTTTTGAATTTAACTGAATGAGAACAAAAAAAGAATTTGAATTGTCAAGATTCGTATTTTGAACTAGCTCTTCCCCGCGACTTCGGCCGCGTGTAATTTAGGGTTTTTAATTATGTCACGCGGAACCCTAACTGTTTATTAAAATAAAAGTAGCCTAAGTTACTCTACTGATTAGTCGGAACAAACAGACAGACAGACGGACAGACAGACAGACAGACAAAAATTTTAAAAGTTGTATTTTTGTTATTAGTACCGTATATACTTTCATATGCATTTAGTAAAATAATGAAAATAAAAATATGTAATTTTGACATTACAAACAGACACTTATTTATTTGTATAGATAAAAAATACCTATCTATCATTGTAAAACATCGTATAAAAATAGTAGCTAATGTTTACTCCCTTGGGATATTTCACTTTTGTATACATTAATATTTTTGACGATTTCAGATGGTTTGGTCTACCACTAATCGTATTGGTTGTGGCATTTCACAGACAAAGGACAATAACTTTACAAAAACGCTGTTCGTTTGTGACTATGGTCCAACGTAAGTAAAATCACTTTAAATTATGTGCCGTGGTAGCTTAAGAGCTAAGTAAGCAATCCAGGTTCGATCCCCGCAGTCACCGCGTGGATGGCGGATGGATTCAAAATTGCTTATATTTCATTACTATTTTTACAGTATTATTAAATAATCAAATTTTTTTACCATATACAAAGTTAATGTTTATAGTATTTAATAAAAATAACAATATTATAAATACTTCAGAACAAAGTTTTATTTTCACATTTTTCATATGAAAATGTTTGTATTTCAGCGGAAATTATTTTGAACAAAAACCGTACAACTCCACTCAACAAGCAACAAACATACTTCGATGCAGCGATGGTGCTTGCAGTAAACCTTATGGATCTAATTGTTAACTTGGGGCTAACTTAACTTTGTTAAAAGTTATTTGTAACTATATACGTATATATTGCAACATTATTAAGAATATTATTAACAATTTATTTTCTACTTTGTGTAAATCTTTGACGAATTATTAAACAGTTATTTTATTTACTGAAACAAGAAGCCAGTTATTATTATTTCATTCAAATTTAGTTGTTGTTAATTTAACTTTATATCGGGTATATTAGTACATACATGCACTTTATTCGGCTTAAGACGAAAGATATTTCGGCAAAATTACAAGATTAAGATAGTTATGTACCTACAAGAATATTCAGGCGACAGTAGGGTAAGCGTTCTAAATGTTGGTGTCTGTAAGGTATATTTAGCTCGTAATAACATTCAAATTTAAATCCGAAATGGAAAAAGAGTTGTAATTTAATAAACATTTTAAGACCTCAGTACTAATATTAGACTATACCAGTAGTAATATGAAATACAGATGCAATTATAAAAAGTGAGGCCTGGAAATGTAAACAGAAACAGAAACAGATTTAATTAATTAAAATTCTAATACATAAAATTAATGTTTGTTTGTTCGTATTTTATGTGCTGCCATACCGTTCATCAGATTGCGGTAAAACTTTTTCAACATATTGCTTGCACTGCGCGCAGGTTTTAGGCATATGTAGGTGACGCGCGTATCGCGTATCATTATCATCCCTAATTAAACAATATGGGTAACTCTTCCAAAAAAACAATATTTCAACAATTATTTGTTTTGCGGCAGCAATGTGCCGGGTACCAGCTAGTAGATTATAAATAATACATATTGAAAGTCATTCTTTTATTTAATTTACAATTGCTTCGGAAAAATACCTCTGTCCTGGGAATAACCAGCAAGAAAAACAGCGAGACATTTCTAGAAAGAAAAACAGCTTACAATCATATATGTTACACAATTAAAAACACAAAACAAATTAGAAATAGCTTAGTAGTGATCACCTCATCCACTGGAGTTATTATGATCATTACAATGAAGATGAAGTATAACAGTAGATTAAATCTTATATTATTATTTACATTGCTCAGTAACATTGCATTCACTGTTGCATTCCTATTTAAAGTATACCGACCAAATAGACCTTAGCTGCCCCTCTAGATCAGTAATACCATATTTGGTTGGTGGTTACCATGGTTTACATAAAACTACAAGTTTTTCTGTGTATAGAATCGCACCTTTAGCCTTTCTGTTTTTGTACGATGCAGTGTGCATATGCTGTAGAGGACAGTTACATTATGATATAGTATTAATTTTTTTTTTATAGTAAAGGAGGCAAACGAGCATGCGGCTCACCTGATGGTAAGTGACTACCGCCACCCATGAACAACTGTATCACCAAGGGAACCAGGGGAATAGCAGATGCGTAGTCGGCCTTTTAAAAAGAAGAATCTCTTTTCTTGAAGGTCCTTAAGTTGTATCGGTCCGGAAAAATCGCTGATGGTAATCGATACCTCAAGGAAAAAAACGTGTTCTAAATCGCACAGTGATGGACTGCCAATCATACAGATGGTGTGGATGGTATTAGCTTAAGAGCGAGTGAGCGGCAGACTTACGGTATTTCAATAAGCTTCACTTTTTTCAGTTAATCCCCTATACCTGAGGTACATGAAACGGGGACTCTTTAGTTTGACCGTCGGTCGATATAGAGACGCTCAGGTGTTAAAAGTGTAAAAAAATGACCCAAAAAACGTGATAGCAATAAGTCTACCGCTTTGACATCATGAAATATTTAATAAAAGTTACCGAAAAGTAACATTGGCAGACACCTATGACGGTTTCAAGATCATGGCAGACAGGTTGAAAAGTACATTTTTATTAATAATTTACGTTATTTCAATAAAGCTGCAATTTATATATATTGTTGATAATATTATTTGACATGTATAATTTTCACGGCAGACACATATTGTGGTTGTATCACCCAGGCAGACAACAAACTTCTGGGGCGCCCATAAGCGCGTACTATAATAGCGTTCGCTCAATCCAGTCTTTTTCTTTCTAGTTTTGTACGCTCTGATACGCATATCATAATAGTCATACTTGGTAATATGCTACATTTAAAAAATAGCTCTTCTCAATTATGAATTCTCACGAGAACAGGAAATAATGAACGATTCATAAATATTTCAAACATTTATGAGCAACGTGTTGATTTATTGAGTGAAAGTTTTCTTGGTTTCTGTGTATTTACGGGCTGTGATTATAATCCAGCTTTTTTTAATAAGGGAAAAAAACGACCCTTCACCTTACTACAGAAAACTCAGGCATACCGAGAATCCTTCGCAGCTTTTGGTGACAGTAATTTAGCCGAGAACCAAAAACAACAGCTTTTTAATGTTGTCCAAAAGTTTACCTGTCAAATATATAATGCAAAAAAAATCAGTAGATGTAGATGATGGCAGATTCCATCTTTTTATAAATAATTATAAACCAAAATACCTCAATGAAAAATTTAGTAAGAAATTACACTGTTTTGATGGAAGCTCTTTACCACTGTATACGTGAGCTGTATCAGTAATTTTTACGTGCGCATTATATTTAGTATATATACGAGGTGGCGATAAAGTTATTACATTAAATGAAAAGGCTTATCCTATATAATGTTCTTTGAACATACACAACTAAAAAATATATAACAATTAACATTCTAGTCACAATAGTCCTTTTTTTGTCGTTTTTTGCCTAATTACTTATGAACGGGAATGTGTAGGTAAATAATTACCTACGTCAATGCCGCGTGAGCACTGCGTACCTGCCGCACCAATGCCGCTTTTACATGTCATTCTTGGTCAATAAACTAATATTATCAAAGTGATTATTTCTTGTCAATTTTTACGCTATTTATTTTGTTTGAAAGATGCATTCTTTTATTTTTGGTAGAATTGTTTACTTTATTATTTTAATCGACATATATGAACTTGTATATACCGCTATGTTATTTAATGTGATAACCTAATCGCCACCCAGTATATTTAATATATAGCATTTGGAAAAACGCTCACTAAAAATATCCAGTATTATTAGATCCATTGGAGCGCGGCTGGACTGAAGAAAATGATACGTTTATATTTATACATATAATAAAAATGTAAATAGCAGATGTCTGTACATTTTATATTTTTGTAATAAAAGTGATTGAGAGGTACTAAAAATAAGTAATTAAATACATTTCTACCATTTTTAGATTTTTCTGTCTGTCTGTCTGTCTGTCTGTTTGTTTGTTAACGTATCACGTATAAAGTACTAATTTATAACATAAGAATAGTTAAGGAAATTATTAAGTGTATATTCAGGTTACATTTAGTCTTTATTTCATTAAAATTGGTTAATTCCATCAAAAGTTATGACAAATATTCTGAAGTATGGGTACTAAGTATAGATACGAATTTGTTCAATAGTGGCGTTGGATGAGTCATCAAGTACATTTTAAAATTAATTTCATATTATAAATCTTAATTAAATGATGTAAAATAATGTTCTATAATGATATAATTATATCTAAAACGCAGTAAAGAAAAGTATTACATAAAGAACGTATATTAATTAATATATTAACCTTATTATCTAAACTAAATTAAAGTACAATACTTAACCAATTTCATCGATAGATGGTGGTGTGGCACAAATGTGATACAAAAAGGCAGGTTAAATTTTTTTTCTGTAGATGAGTTTCATATTTGCTTTTAACCTTTATATTAACGACACGCTGCCCTACTGCGTGTTGACAATCTCATTTATTTTTTATTTTTTTTCCGCCGAGTACTCTATGTGGTAAATCAAATTTTAAGAGCTATTAACAATTTCGTTTTTCGGCGAGGATCAAACTTTCTTTTTTGCTTACTATGCAGGCACTGATTTATAAGTTCTTTTATGTTTTTTATTGTATCAATCGTGTCAATTAATCTTTTATTTTTAGAATTGATGTTAACAGCGCCATCTCTCTTTAAATCTATACATATAATAAAAATGGTAATAACATGTTGTGTCTGTTTCTGAATATTGTATAGTATATTAATTTGTGACTATAATCATTATGGGGACTGTAAATCATTAAATAAGTACATTTTTATAATTTTTAGAATTGTACTATCTGACGGTCTGTCTGTTTGTTTATGGACGCATGACGTTTTGAGTAAACATCTTTTTTTCAATGAAATCCTTAAGAAAATCATAAAGCGTATTATCGAGTTCATTTAATCTTTGTTTTATTGAAATTGGTTAATTCTATCGAAAGTTATGATTATTATTTTGAAATGTAGGTTCGAATTTGTTTAATGGCGCCACAAAATCTCAGAAATAGTAATAAAAAGATTCGTGTGTAAAAAAAACGTTCTATTATAATATATTTCATATCGTTCTATTATAGTACTTAAAACACAGTAAAAATATGTTTTCCTTAAATTAAAAAAGGATGTTTTCTCACAAAGAACGTACTAGATGGCGTTGTACAAATTATAACCTTTTCTGAATTGCGGTGTTAAGATTTTTCGCAGGTGAATCGTATTGAGACTCACTGAAAAAATTTTGTCCATGAGGCTGACGAAGTTGCAAACCTGTATGGTTTATATACAGTAATCTATGTATGCCTGCCTGTAAGAGCCGTGTAGGCTAACAACACATCACAAAAATTATCAGAAACAAAAACCAGAAAAAAGAGATATTGAAGTATTCAATTATTCAACAAAACTCGACTAAAAGTAGCAAAATTGCAATAAATGTCGTGATAGTGATATTGTTTTATACTCAGAATCCCTCTAATACCAAATAACTTTCCTTTCAGTTTTAAGTAAAGTAAAGTAAAGTTGCAGCCTATTTACGTCCCACTGCTGGGCACAGGCCTCCTCTCATTTCTGAGAGGGTTTTAGGGCAAGGAAATGTCCACCGCGCTGCCCTAATACGTGTTGGCGAACTTCACATGCCATCGAAATATTTTTTTTTATTTCTCAGACTTGCAGGTTTCCTCACGAT